CAATAATCCAAACATTTACCTTGTTTCTCTGAAAACAAGACTGGGTCTTATATTAATTGTTGCTCTCAAAGACACATTTGGGGCTTATTTTGTGGTTAGGTCTTGTTTTCTGGGGAATACAGTACTAAATTCATCCACCTGGTTGACGATCCTTAACTGGGTCTTATTTTGGGGGTAGGGCTTATATTATGAGCATCCTGAAAAATCATGCTAGGGCTTATTTTGGGGAAAACAGGGTAGCAATCGATGTATTGGAGGAAAGTGCACCCAACATTAAACCGACTTCCTCTCTCTCTGCAATTCACAAGATTGAGGCCGTTATAATGACTCCAACCTCTCTTTAGATCCAGCTTCAGCCAGAATTTGACAAAAGATGAATCTTCCACAAACATTCTGGGCTTGAAGACTTGGAAAGGAACTTGCTACGTGCATCTCTATTAACCTGGCCCTCTCTTGCCTACCATTTCAGCCTGACAGGGAAGGTGTAAAGAGTTTTAATCTACAATCACAAGTGACCAACATTCATTTGAACTTCGGGGGGGGGGGGGACTAATTAGACCTAAAGACGAAAAAAAAAGTACATCACACTTCTCATGCAAATCAAAAAATATACAAAGGAAGTGAAGGAGGCCCATTAGAGGGAACCATCTAATCTCCAGTGTCATCTCTGGAGTCTTTCTAAGATTTATAAACGCTGACTGGGAGAGAAATGGCTGAAGAGCAAGAGAGCAGAAATCACTATCTGTGTATGCGGGCGAGTTACATTTCATACTCCATTGTGTTCTGCATTGAGAAAAAACGTTACATCTGATTAAAATGCAACTTGCCTAATGGGAAAAGTGAACTTGTAACTGAATTACTCTTGTTCTCAAACAGAATACAAAGAGAGAGAGAGAGACAGAGATAGAGAGACAGACAGAGGGACAGAGAATCAGAGAGACATAGAGACACAGAGAGAGACACACAGAGAGAGAGAATGAGAGAGAGAATGAGAGAGAGATAGAGAGAGAGATAGAGAGAGACAGAGAATGAGAGAGAGAGAAAGCAGGTTCTTTGGCTTTGGTGGCAAGTTTTAAAAGGCTTTTAACAGGGCAAATAGCCTGTGTTGTTGTTTTTTTAATTAAAGAAATCCATTTGCAGCAAGGCAATTGTTATTAAGGCAATGGATTAATCCTTTTATTTTATTTATATATAAATATGCATAAATAACATGGTGGCTCAGTGGCTAAGACACTGAGCTTGTCGATCAGAAAGGTCCGCAGTTCAGCGGTTCAAATCCCTAGCGCCGCATAACGGAGTGAGCTCCCGTTGCTTGTCCCAGCTTCTGCCAACCTAGCAGTTCGAAAGCATGTA